CTTTTAGCTGTGTTTATGATGTGAACATTCTTTCTGGAATGCTGGATAAGCGTACTTTGCGATTTCCTGAACCTAAATTTATCGATATGAACGCCTGAGATTATGATGAAAATTTCAAGAAAAAGTTCAGGGGGCGTTTTGTGAAGTAAATCGATTGCAGGAAACCGGGCCCTACACTCACTTAAAATTTGTGCTTATTGTTCGGTGTAAAGCATCATTCTCTCTGTGAACTTTGCTCTGTGAATTTTGCATAGGATTTTTACCTTTAAGCTCTTTACTGGCCTGAACTGCTATTCGGAAAATATAGCGCAGAGATCGTTGTTAATATGAATATCGTTATAATTTATTATTATTGTTATTATCGTCATTATTATCGGTCTTATTATATTGTCATTGCTACTATAATTGTCGTTATGATTACATATTATTATTACTGTATAAAAACCAAAGTTTAAGGAACCAGTTCGATCAGGACAGATCAACTAAATTGCATGTACTTCTCGAGATATTTCTTGCTAAAGACGCTTTCGGCGTCTGTTTGAGGAAATGTGATGCGTTGTTTCTGAAGAAGCAGGACAAGATGAGGCCCACTGCCAAGACGAACTCAATTATAAAGTATGATATCAGAAATTCTAGCAGAAATGAGCTTTTCGATATGTGGATAGCATGCCGTAGACCAGCAAAACAAGATAAATAGAATAATAGAAGGATTTCACTTGAATCATGTGTTTGAAGACATTTTATGACGCAGTCTGTGTTTCATCCCTTAGCTGTATACACAGACCAGACTATGCATGCGGGTAGGAGTGGGAATCATCAGTACAGCCTCCTAGCCGCCATGTTTTGAAGATGAAGCCGAGTGTCTTAACAATAAATAACGAAGAAAGTTTGAGGCCCTAAAAGTTGTTGAGGAGACGAGACGAAGTCAGAAACGCTACAAGAGATGACCACTAGGCGATGCAGCATTGCTCAGCAATTGAAGAAGTTGCCAATAGTCGGTTGCCAAAAGAGAATAGCAGTACAAAGTTTTCCACGGAATCCTTGGTGTGTATTTCGATTAATAGATGCTGATAATGGCTTAAATTAGTACAGGAAAACTAAAGCAAGTAGTGACGCGCATCAGATTAGCCGGTGCGATCATGCGTTTTGTGCGACTCTGTCCAAGAGGATCTTGTTGTTAAAAGTGTCCACTGCTTTTGTAGTTCCTGAATTGTTAATTTTGGCGCCAAAACTTCTATGTTCCTGCACACGAGATCAAGGCGCGCGGGACTAATGTGGGCAGGAAGCATTATTTTGAAATTTCAACCTTCTCTTATTTCCGAGTTAATAATTTTCGCGCCAAAACTTTCATTCATCCGCACTTGCCATCTGGGCAGTCACAGGAATAAATTTACACGTGGGCAGGAGCGTTATCCCAAAATTTTAGCTGCCTAGCTTTTTTTGTTCCTGAGTCATTAATTTTGGCGCCGAAATTTTGGCGCATCCATACCTAAGAGTTAGCGTGCATAGGGCCTGCATTTATATACAGGCAGGAGCATTGTTCTGAAATTTTAACTTCCTAACTCTCCTGCTTCCCGAGTTATTGACTTTGGCAACGAAAATTTCACGTGTCCCCACGCAAGATCTAGGCATGCAGGGAGAATGAATTTGAGTTTGCGGAGTTGTACGTGGGCAGGGAACATTCTTCTAAAATTTCAGCCCCTAGCGTTTTTGGTTCCCGATTTAATAATTTTCGCGCCAGAATTTTTACGTGTCCGTGCAAAATTCCTACTCGCACGTGAAGACTGAATTTAATTTTTAGAAATTACACGCGGGCAATGAAACTTCCTTAAAATTTTAGTCTTCTAGCTTTTCTGCTTCCCAAGTTATTAATCTGGGCGCCAAAGCTTTTAATTGATTGTACGTGAAACTAGGGATCCGCGGGCGCTGAATTTGAATTTGCGAGGTCACACCGCACGTAGTCTCTCCTCCTCTTCCTAAAATTCCAGCTTCCTAGATTCTCCGGTTCCCGAGTTGAAACTCCCAAATAAAATGCAATCGGAACACACACACATAAACACACAGAGGGTCTCGACAATATGTGTTTCGTGCAACTGTTGCACCACAAAACGTATAATTAGCTTCAAACTATTTTTTGCACATAAATATTAAAA